ATTTGTCCAACTATATGGAGGTTTTCCTTTTACCGTGTTTATTCATACGCTGATTTTAGTGAATTTATTATTTGTAGTGGTTTGGTTTTTTGTAAGGACTCTTGGCTCTTGTGACACTTTCTTGAGGGTGGGGCTCAAACAAATTAGAGGTTCCTTTGGGGCAGTATTCAAGCTTCACTATGACTGGAGCACGATGTTAGCCAGTGGGTTTTTTACAGGAAGGAGAGCACCTACTTAATGGTAGGTGTTCTGTGGCTTTGCTCACTCTACTGGCAGAAAGCGAAGGGCATGGGTTATGTGACTCAATCAGAAAATGGTAGATGCTGGATTGAGTCTGTCTGCTGACTTCATTTTCATTGGCATTTCATTCTGAAATCTTTGTTCTGAAGGGGACAGACTCCTGTCTCAAACATTGTTCGGTTAGGCCTTAAGGGGATGCCAGGTTTTAGGGAAAGAGGCTTGGGAATGAGAGGAGGTGAAAAGGGGGCAGGTTACCTGGGAAACAGGTAGAGGCAGTTCTTTCTGTTTAAAGGTGAATGGGCTCGCGCCCGCCCCCCCACCCCCCAGTTTTCCTGAAGGTGGGTCTTTGGTAGGTATCTGCTGTAGGGAGGCGGTGGTCTAGTTGGGTAACGTTCACATCCTGCCTATACCCAGAGGACTGTCATTGGTATTTTGAGAAAGGAGAAGGGTGGAGCCGATGAAACCTCAGAATAGTGCCCCTCCACTTTGCATACTCCCGCTGACCCCGGCCGTCCCTTCCTTTTTTTCAGCTCAAACTGTGTTTAAAAAACTTGCCCATGCCTTCTGATCAGTTGTGCAGCATGAATTTTAGTTACATAGAACTGAAAATTGAACAGCCAGCAGCGGAAAAAAAGGCTCTAAGCTGTCGGAAGCACAGATTTTCAAGTACCTGGGAGCCCTGGTTGGGAAGGGCTTTTCTCTTTGTCTAATAAAATAGTCCAGTGTGCTCTTCAGAGGAGTTGATTTCATCCTCAAATCTCTGTTGACTTGAGATGGAAGCTGCGGCTTTGTCGAAAGGAATAGCTGCTTTCCCCTCCCTGCTGAGTAGGGGTGCTTTACCAAGAGTAAGTGGAGAATGGCTGGCGTTCTCCAGGCAGTCCTTGATGAGGTGCAGTGAGCTTGGTACACGTGAGAAGCCAAGGACGTGGCGGTGGTTCTTTCCCTGGCGTGGTCATGCTGCCTCTGCTGTTTTGTTGATGTGCTGCTGCTTACAACGATGTTTTGTTTGGTTTGGTCCATGTCTCTTGAAAAGTTTTTTATGTGTTCACCTTGTAGGGGTTAGGCTTTGGTTGTGGTTCCTTCATCCCTGCTGCTAGTAGTGAAGGGGGTTGAAACTCTGGGTGAGACCTGAGTACTGACTGGGACTGTTAGTACTTAGTTCTTATGTCCTTTAAAGGGCTTCAGTGATTGGCCTGATGCTTAAGTGAAAGAAAACAGGGCCCCAGGTACCTAGTGGGTCGATCCAGCTTGGGGGGCTTTTCCAGGAGAATGGATGAAGACAACAGAACTTTGGTTTGAGGTGTTGATTCTGGTGCCAGCTCATCACTGGTGAGAAAGTAGGGGTCTGACCCCCCAGGGCTTGGATTTTGGGCCCTCTGCTCTGCTGCATTCCCTTGTAAGCACTAGGCCAGGAAAAAACCACTCATGTTTCTCTGATGAGGATCCTAGGCTAACCTCTTGAGTTCTAAAGAATATATTATTCTTACTGAATTATTGAAAATGGTCTTCAGTCTTGAAGCATTAGGTACCTGGCTTATTTGAGACAGGCTAACTAGTAGGAAGAAGTGAGGGTGGGATGTGAGTGGGGAGAAGTGTGCTGCAGATCTCTGCCTCCTGATTTAGTTCTCCAGTCTTTCACCTTTTCAGTAACTTGGATATAGGGCTGAGGTTGTCATGGATGGGTCCGGTGCATATGATTCAGTACATCTTTATCTAGGCGTGCTGCTTCCCACTTCCAGTCTCCAGTCAGTCATCCACCAGGGGTTTTGAAACCACGTCCCACTCCCTGGACTAGTCTGCCAGAGGCTCAACTCAGTGTGACGTGTGGGATCCCACCTGCAGCCATTCCTCTCTAGTCTGCAGAACTCAGACTCCTTTTGTACCTTTGGGCCTTCAATACTTAGCCTCTTTTCTTTCATCTTTAACTTTTTATTTTGAAATGACTCAGACTTGGAAGATTTCCACAGAAATCACCTTGTTTACCTCCCCATGCAGACAGTGATCTTTGTGGTGCTGGTGTGTGAGAGCTGAGGAAGTAGTGTCAGATGAATCTTGCCAGGAGATTTGATTTTAGGGCTGGTAGGAATTGGCCCTCAGTCCTGTGGTGGTAGCAGTTAAGGACTTTCGAAGACCTTTGAATCTAAGATACCCAACATTCTTCAGGTGGGAGCAGACAAGTACGCATCACTGAAGGGAGAAGGAGCCGGGCTTTCCAGGCAGCGCCCTGCACGTGCACCGCAGGGTGGCAGTGTTGCACAGCCCTGTTGATTCCCTGTAGCTGTTCTGTGCAGGATTCTTAGGGCTTGGCTGCAGGGTGGGGGCCTGTCTGTCAGATCTGTCCCAATGGGCTATTTTCTTTGTTTTGCTTTTTTCAGAAGTTGAGGGAAAGCCAGCCCATCCTGTGTACTGTCTTCCTGAGTGAAAAGCAAGGCAGGTCCCTCTGTGGGAAGACCTCTGCAGACTTGCCACAGTCTGAGGTGGCAGAGCTAAATCCTCCCTGTAGCAGTGTGTCTTAAGTTGAGTACATACGTGAATCTCTTGGCGGTTTGGTTAGCACATGGATTCTGATTTGGTGTGTGGGTCCAGGTGGGGGGCAAGCTCTCTGGCGGTGTTGACACTTGCTGTTTCAGCAGCACACTTTTATTAGAGTCTTGCTCTGAAGTTCTGCAAAGACTCCGGTTCTGTGTCCCCTCCACCTTCCCTGTGAAAGGGAACTTGATTCTGTATGTGGACAGTTTGAGCTGGGAGCTAAGAGGAAGGTCACTCAACAGAAGGCTGGCTCCTTTGGGTTTTCTAATTCTCACAGGCCCAGTGAACACTGACTATTGTTTGTTGTCTTGTGATGCTCGGAGATTTTGGGCAAAAAATGTCAATTGTTTTGAGGTGTTACTCTAGGAACACAAACATCCTGGAGACCGTTGTTGACACTAAATGTGTACTTGCTGCAGGCCAGTTGCTGTTAGGTGGTGAGCGGTCCAGTTGTTCTTACTTCATAGAAGGGTATGCTGAGATACAAACCAGCCTTAGTCTCGTAACTGGTGAGTGGGATAGAGTAGGGATTTGAATCTGTCCTTTGGCTGTGGAAGTTGTGTCCTTAACCACCATGCAGTGGCTGATAGAACTCTTAAAGCTCCCCCCCCCCGCCCCACCATGAGAAGGAAAAATAAAGCCCCCAAGAAGCCTTTGAACTTAGGGGAGCTGTCCTTCCAACGGTTTCTTTTGCCTCAGGTCTGCACTGGTTTTTGCAGCTGCTCTGCTTGAGAATCAGTGCAAGGAAGTGTAGCTCCATCCCATGAGAAGTATTAGGTTCCTGTGGTTTTAAAAGAAATCCTGTTAGACACTAGAGATACACAGTGACTTATTTTTTACATCCAAGGCACCGTACAGAGGTTGAAAAGACATGTTTATGGGGCGCACTCTAACGGAAGAGTCCTGTGTGAAAACAGACATGACAGTTCGGTTCGCTCTACCACAGACCCTGTGGGAAGTGCCACTGGAGCGCAGAGGAGAGCCGCCTTGGTGTGCTGGGACGGCTGGATTTCAGGGTGTCTGGAGTTACAGGACCAGCATGTGCTAGGGCGTGGGGCGTGAGCAAGTGTTGGGATCTTGGGGTAAGTGAAGAGGCAGATGAGAGGTTCAATGGGATCCTTAAGGGCCAGGCTGGAAAGGGGAGCTTCAGTGTCCTAATGTTAGATGTGAGACAGTCTTATTTCCGTGATCAGTTTTGATCACTCAGGCCCTTGAAGGTGGTTGACTAGAAGCAGGGAAAGTCAAGAGATGTGTTGTAGGTAAAAGACACGAAGGCATAAGACAGGTGGGAGCTGTGAAGTTGAGGAAGAAGGCAGTTGGACATGGAAGAGCTGGCATCAGCAAGATGAACTAAATCTGGGCTTTATGGAACATGTCAGGGTTTCTTGTCTTCTGGTTAGGCCGCTGCTGTTGCCATATGTCAGGATACAGGGATGGTGAGAGGAAGACAACTTCAGTTTGGGAAATGGTAGGTCCTTGCAGAATGTTCATCTCAGGGATTGAGTAAGGCTTAGATTGTAAGACTCAAGAAGATTTGGTAGAAAAGGGACGGAATGGGGAGCATCAGCATTTATTTTGTGGGGTGGCTGGCTAAAGAAGATGCCCCCACAGGATCCTGCGTGTTAGGGATTGTTCCCACTTTTCGGGAAGCTCAGCTTTCCTCCTGGAGTCCTGAACAGCATCAGGAGCAGTCCCATGTGACTGTGTAGCTTTGACAGTGGCCATGTTCTTAGCTCCTAGATAGCTTCCTTCTATCACTGTTTTTTCCTGTTGCTCTGGTGATCCAGTAACCAGAATAGGGAAATGTTACACAGACTGTGTGGTGCTGGTTGGGGGTTGGGGGTGGGATGTACATAAACACTGCATTTGCTAATTGTGGCATCTAGGGAGCAAGGGTGTCCCAGGTGGTGTCTTCAGACAGCTTTGTTCATTCTGGGCCAGTGTGTCGTCGTGGATGGCACACCTTGTACCCTCAAACGTGGATTCCTGTGTTTGTTGATCGGACTGCTTAGGATAGGCTGGCTTTCTTGGGGGCTTCCCTTTGCTTTGCATCCTTCTCCGCTGCTGCCCAGGCTAGGTGCCTATTTTACACAGGGTATTGTCCTAGGGTCCTGGTTCCCTGAAGGGCTCTGGAAAGACCCTGGGGAGTGCTGTTTTCTGGAGAGGAATACTATGTTCCTTTGTTGGCAAAAAATCCAAAAATCTATCAAGAGAAGAAAAACTACTAGAACTCATTTCCTAAAATTTTGCTTTTATGATTGGCATGTTTTCTGAGCAAAATAAACCCCTTTCAGCAAGTGGGAGGGAGCAGAGGGAGCAGTGAAGCCTGCTAGTGTCCGTGCTGGAAGAGGCCATACAGAGTGACACTTGGTGGCCTGTGCTCTTTTGTCCTGTGTATACATGATACTCTTGTCTCTTCCCCTGAAAGTTGCTCTAATTTTACAATTGTTTTTTCCCTTGGAAAATGAAAGAGAAGCAATGTAGCTGAGTCTGTTTCTAAATGCATTTGAGAAACCTGGCCCTCCACAGTCCCAGATCCTTTGTACATACCTTTGTTTTAAACTTTAGACCTTGGCCACAGGGCTAACTATTGTCTCAAGGGCAGACCCTTGGGGGTAGCATTTGGAGGAGCCATTGTATGGTGACTGGGGCAGGAAGGATGAAGTGTGGAGCCTGCTGCACCAGGAGAACGGGCAGTGAAGTAGAGGGTCACCTGAGCCCTGGTGGCATCTAGATATGTAGCTTAGCTCTGCGTGTGCTTTCAGGCTGGAAGTAGGAAAACACAAGTACGAGCTGATTTTTTATATATTGTAGATATAAAAAAAATAGATTCCAGGTAAGTTGGATGGAACAGTGAAGGGTCATATGTAGGGCTGCTGCTGGGGAAGATGCTCAGCTCCGCTCCAGGTCATCCACCAGGTAGGGCTGGGTGTCCCTTAGGCTCTGAAGGAGTAGATCCTTGCAGGTCGTGTTCCAGGCTGGAGCAAAGCTGAAGAGCTTCCTCATCTTGGTTGGGTTGGTGTGCTCTGCCCGCACTGCCTGGTACTGATCTTCTGTCAGGACCTTCCCATACAGGGAATCCAGCACCCCATCCACGTCTGTGACCCGTGCGATGAGGGCCGCCCGATGCTGGTCCACAAAGTGCGGTGCTGGGGGCAGGAGGGAGGAGAGCAGGTGAGCTGGCACCCGGCGTGGGTGCTGGGGCCTATCCCTGTTGAACACTGCTTTCTTCAGAAGTTGCCTTGAATGCACCCCTAAAGGACAGGGCTCAAGGTGGGCAGTCCCCAGGGCTCTGGGTATAGTGGGAAGTATGTAACTTTGTCTCCCTTTCTCCCAGCCAGGCTCAGCCTCAGGAGGTGTGTGAGTGGGTTGGTGGGAAGGGTTGGCCTGCTTCATGCTCCCTGGGTGTTCTGGGCCTTGTGACAACAGGTAGACTGCACAGGAGTGTGGTGGGGCCTCACCTGGCTTGGCTGCTGCCTGGGGAGGGGCCTTGATCCCAGCTGGCTTTGCTTCTGGGGCTGTAAGAAAATCAAATGATGTCTACAATCTCTGGGGTAAGGGGCCCCTTGGTCCGGAAGCCAAAGTCACTACCAAATGGGGGAAGCCTCCTTTCCCAGCAAGAAGAGCTTGTATTAAGGGGTAGGAGGAACAGGAAGTGAAAGAACCTGAGTGGGTTGGGAGGAGGGTGTAGGCAGGATACTAGAGAAGCCCTGGGGGTCTGGACCTCTGCGGAACGTGGGGGTGGGGGTGGGGCACGCTCACCCTTGCGCATGGTCTCCTGCAGCTGCTCTGCCACCTCCTGCATGCCCATGTCACGGAGCACGAGCGCCGTGAGCTCGGCGCCATATGGCTCCAGATAGTAGCTGACCAGCTTGTCGGTGAGGTCCATGGCATCCATGGGCAGAAGTGTTCCCCGCGGGATGCGCCCATAGCCGTCGCGCAGCGGCACCGAGAGCAGCTTCATCTTGAACTTCTTGAGCTCGTCGGCGGTCAGGCTCTCCAGCGCGTCTAGGATGGCATCGCGCGTGCACCCCATGGCTCTGGGATCCCCGCTGCTGCCTCTCCCCCGGGTGTCTGCCGAGCGGGAAGTCTGCTCCAGGGCGGGACCTGCAACTCCCCGCCTTCTCTGAACTCTCAACTTTGTCCCAGCCCATTGCCCTGGGGTGTACCCCCTTCGTTTCCATCCACTCCTGGCCATCGGGGGGCGCCCAGATCACTTTCTTCGGCAGGTCCGGGAGGTGGGACCCAAGAGACCAGGTGGAAAAGGGCTTGTGGGTGGTGCCTGCCTCTCCAGGCTTGCACTGGTTAGGACAGACCAGGAACCTAATTTATTGGAGCGCCAAGGCTTAGAATCTTTGAATTCTAGAACGCTGAAATCTCCATATTTTCCCAAAGCTTAGCATCCTCTCTCACATGTCCTAGAATCAGAACCATAGAATCCTAAGAGCCAGAACCATGTAGCTTCCCAAATTTCACATGGGAGAAATGAAGTGTGAAAAAGAGGGTAGAGATTAAGTGTATGTGCTCTCTCTCTGAGCCTGTTTCCTTATCTATAAAATGGGGATAATAACACTTCACTGAGCCACTTAGTAAATACACCAGCATAACATGGGCTACCTGATGGTGCCTGAAACCTTCCTGGGAGAGCCAGGATTTGGTTCCTGAGGAGCTGAAATCCTTGGAAAGTGATGACAAGAAACATTTGCAATGGTTGAGAAAATTGTCTATTGGAGGGAAAGTCATGGGTGGAGAGCTACTCTGGGGCTAGGGGGCTTGGCCCAGAAGAGCATTTGGAAGTTGGCATGGGTTGGCATTGGAAGCCAGATTGTGTCCAGAATCCTTAACTTGCTCTTAACATGGCTCTGAAGGCCCTGCTAGTCTGCTCCTCTGGACCTCACCCAGCCTTGCCTTGCACCACACCCTGCCCCTCCTCCATCTCTGAGTTCAACCACACTGGCCTCTCAGTTCCTCAAACGCTCCAGGCTCCTTTGCTTCTCCAAGCCTTTAAACATGCTGTTCCCTCAGCCTGGAGCTCTTTTCCCTCACTCTTTGCCTGACAAACTCTGGAAGCTTTAGGTCTTAAGTTAAATGCTGCTTCCTCCGGGAGACCAGGTTTAGAATCCCTCCAGTTCAAAACACCTACTTACTTGTAGCTCTCATAGCAATTGTGACTAAATTGTAACTAACTTTGTGAATTTGTTTAGCATCGGTCTTCCCTGACAGTCTGTAAATGTGCATGTCCAGATCATCGTTATATCTGTGGCATCCAGAAGAGTGCTGGGCCTGTAGCAGGTGCTCACTAAATCTTCATGGGATCAATAATGGATGAATGGGCCTTGCGGCTCAATGAGGATACCAGGAACTGAAGGTGTGCCTTCCATATAAGGAAGAGGCAGCTTCCAGAAGCAGAAAGACTGGACTGAAGCCATACAGTCTCGACTGAATCCCGAATCTCCTTCCTCGGTGGGTATTGGGAAGCCTTCCTTTTCCTCTCTCAGCTGGGTTGTAGCAATCACCTTTCCTTCTAGGGATGTGATCCTGACATTTCAGACATTCATTTCTTCACTGGGCATTCATCTCCCCACCACAGGATCCCCAGCATCAAGAGAGTGCCCGGGACATAGGAGGTGCTCAGTGAAGAACTGTTAAATGTAGGAATAACTGAGGCTGTGCTACCTGTAACATGTTTTCAAGGGCCCTGCTCCCCATCCTTGCGCATTTGCCCCATCCCGTCTGGGTCGTACTGTGTGTCAACATCCTTGGTCCCACAGCCAGTGTTCCCTGGCACATGGCTCTTTATTATTGTGCCTCGTCACTGGTCCTCATCCTTTCAGAATCTCCATTGTGTGTACTGTGGCCAGAAGGCTACATCTTCTTAGCCCACACATTGATCCTGTCCCTCCTCTGCTTAGAAAACTGTGACCCCTCAGGGCCCGCAGAATTAAGTCCAAGTGCCTTGGCTTGACCTTCAAGGCCCTTGCCAACTTTCTTGGCAGCACCTTCTACCCTGTTGGCCTCTGGACCTCTGCATATGTGGCACCTGCCTCTCTGCTTGGCCCCTTTTCCCTCCTGATCTGCTTGGGGATTTCCTGCCTGTTCTCCAACATGCATCAGGAGTCACATTTTTAAAGAAATAATAAAAATGTGAGCCCCTATTTATACAGGCTGTGATCCTTCACATGCATTTTTTCTAAGCCTTACAACAATCCCTTTGGTTTAGGAAATAGTAGCCCTATTTTACAAGGAACAAGGTTGAGGCTCAGAGAGGTTGAAGGATTTGCCCAAGGTCACAGAGTTGAGGGATCATACAGCTTGTCTGGCGAGCTCCTGAGTCTGTCCTCTGGATACTCTATGCTGTTGAGATTTCTAGCCTCTCTGCAAAATGAATTATTCCTTGGTCATGTCTGCCGGATATCCCTATGATGCCACAGTGTTTACCACCCCGTGAGTGTGTCTCTTCACTCTGCTTTTCCCACCAGACTGAGGACTCCTTGAGAAACCTTTCAGGTCCACAGCACCCATACAGGGCTTGGCACAGATCCAACTTTGAGAAGCCTTTATGGAATAACAAAAGTATCCTAGAATCTAGAATCATAGAAACCTGCTCCTTTCACATGTGTTAGAATCTTAGAAGCTTTGGGTGTTTGATCCCAATTTAAAAAACAATTGCCTGATTCAATGCCACAATGAGCAGGGATCCCCTTGGCCATATATATGGCCACCATTTGACTGCATCTCTTGAATGCTTGTTCAGATGGGGTGGCCTTGGCCTTGAGTGAAACCGAAGTCACACGTTTCCATGGAAATCTTGGGGCTGTAGGAAATTGCACTTGGGAGACTGTCTCATGACTCAGAGGAGGAGATGGGCTTCCTGGAGGAGAGGGAGCTGAGTACGTGTGTCATGCTGTGACGCAGTGCCCCTTTCCTTGTTCCTGTGAATCACCACCCAGGACCCTTCCTCTTGGGGGCCCAGCTTTCCCCTGGCATCTGACCCCAGTCACATTCCTGCTCACACACGTTCAGACTGAGACAAGATCTTGGCTGTGATTTTTCACCTGATGTCACTTCAGAGCAAGCACCAGCACTTCAGTGTGATGTCACAGGGAGGGAAGGGACAAGGAGCTGACAGTGCAGGCGCGTCCGCTCATAGAAGTGGAAGCCTCAATCCTGCAGAGGTTTCGGGCCAGAAGTCAGTGAGGACAAGTGACATAT